TCCATTGGCGCAGGGCGACCGCAGCGCCCCCCCTCCCCGCGCGCTGCTGTGCGGCTCCTCACGTACTCGCCGCCCCTCGCCCCGCCGGAGCGCAGGCCAGCGACGTACTGACCGGCAGCCCACTCCGCCTATGGACGGCCACAGTAGACGTCTTTCGCCCAATAGCAGCTGAGGGTGGGACACTGTCTTCCAGTTGCCGCTTCCTATTGGCAGGAAGCCGCTGAGCGACGGGAAAGCCACGGGCTGATCAGCCTGCTGGTGGGCGGGCCGTCCATCGGAGCTCTCCTCCAATCGCTGCTCGCGCTCCCCTTGTTGTTCGCTGCCCGGTAACTCCACGGGCCGTAGGCGCCGTCGTTCACCGGCCCCTCGCCCAATCGAGCCGAAGGTGGAGCCGGCTTCACCCAATACGCGTGGCGAGGAGGCGGGCGGCAGGTGCTGGCCCAGAGCGAAGCGCTCTTTTGCCGCCCCCCTTCCGCTCTGCCTGTCGCCGGGCCACTCGGGCGCTGCGCTGACGGCAGCTGGGGGCCGCCGCCTCCGAGGGGACCGCCCGCGGCTCAGGTACCGCCGCCCGTCGCGCGGGGTCTTCCTCCGCCGCCTTCCTCCGCCGCCTACGGCTCCGCCCCCGGGCCCACGGCGCTCGGAGCCCCCTGCGCCTCAGCGCTGCCCCTCGGGGCGCCGCGCTCCGGCCCTCGGCCCTTTCCCTCCGTTCCCGGTCCCTTCCCCGCGAGCGGCTCCTCCCCTGCTCGTCGCGGGCCCGGCTCTGCCTTTCGCTTCCGGACGGCGGCGTGCCGCGCCTCCTCCTCGTCGTCGTCCTCCTCCTCCTCTCGGCCCGGCCCCGCGGGATGCGGCCCTGGGCCTGGCCCACGCCTCCTGGCCCGCTGCTTTGTCCCCGCGGGGCTCAGGCCGCAACCCGGCCCGGCGCTGCCGGTGGCTGCGCGCCGCGATGGCGAGGCGGTGCGTCCGGGGCCCAGCGGGCAGCAGAGACCTGCGGCGCGACGCCGCGTGTTTTATTTTTATCTTTTCAGTAATTCATTTAACTTCTAGAGACTGCCAAATTCTGGGGCCGAAAGCAGGCTTTCCTCCCCTCTCGGTATAAATACGCCCGTGTTCATGCGCGGCCATCCCTGCCGGCATCGCTGCGCTCGGTTCCTCCTCCTCCTCGCGCAGCGGCACGAAGCGGCGCGATGGGCCGCTCTGCTGCTGTCACACTGCTGACCTCCGCCGGCCTTTGGCTGCATGGCTGCCGTATGTTTAATTTTCTCTTTAAGAAATAGGTAGAACCTGAGTGAGGTTCTGTGCTTTTGTGATGTACGCAGTGAAAGGTGAAACCGTTCAGGAAATTATCTGAAGGTGGCAGTGAGGCTTTCCTTCTGCTCTGCCTTTGGTTCTGTAAGATGGGATGGGTGGCTGCGTTGGAGCTGGATATATCGTAGCAAAACTCCTTTAAACTAATTTGTTTTGCAGGGTTAAAGCCCCGCTCGGGTCTACTTTTATGTATGTTCTCTAACTTTTATAGTTTTTTAGGAAAGCTGCAGTAGGGAATGGGTGCTGCTCAGGGACACCAAGTGTTCTTGCGTTTCTGAGACAAAAAATAGTGGGTTTTGGAGTGTGACCAGATAGTCTTTTTGGCTGGGCAACATAAATAACCCATTGTGTTACAGCAAGTTAGACTTTTCCTTAGTTACTTTCCTTTAACCAGAAGAAGTGAGTTTTCAGGAACGCTGTCCGTTGGAAACCTAACAATGTTTTCTTTTTTTCTCTTTTCGCACACAGTAAATCACTTCTTTCTTAGGGGCATCTCTATTTTTGAGGTTTATGCCTATTTCCTTGTATTTCTACTGTTCTGTTAGCAGCACTGCAATTACTAGGGCTCTTAGGATTACAGTTTAAAACTTATAGTT